AGAGATTTAATGCACCAGTTCATGTGCCTTCACCAAGGAGCCTTTGCATGGCAAGAATCAGAACGAGGACGTTTTCGAACCGATTTCTTTCCCCCTGTCAATATCCCAGTCATGCCGCACACACCGTGGGTCCAGCGCAATGTCCCCATTCCCCCTGGGATCTACGATCAAGTCTGCGACCTCATACGCTCGAAATCGCTGCTGGAGTGTACGAACCGTCCAATTCATCCTATCGATCCCGTTGGTTCTGTGTGGTGAAGAAAGATGGCACCAGCCTTCGTTTGGTTCATTCCCTGGAGCCACTCAACGCCGTCACAATTCAGCACTCAGGCGTCACGCCGTTCACTGAGCAGCTGGCTGAGCATTTTGCAGGACGAGCCTGTGGTGCCATGCTGGATTTATATGTGGATATGACGAACGGTTGCTTGCGCCAGCCTCCCGCGACTATACAACGTTCCAGACGCCCTATGGAGCTCTCAGACTTGTTACCCTGCCCATGGGATGGACGAATTCAGTCCCCATCTTCCACGACGACGTCACCTACATCCTCCAGCCCGAAATCCCGGAATTACTTGGCCATACATCGACGACGTCCCGGGCCGTGGCCCCAAATCGAGATATCAGCTAGAAGATGGATCATTTGAGACGATCCCTGAGAATCCAGGGATTCGCCGGTTCGTTTGGGAACATTTTGGAAATCTGAATCGAATCGTTCAGAGGATGAAGTACTGCGGAGGGACATTCTCTGGCCTCAAGCTCACACTCTGCGCCGAAACCATCACAGTTGTTGGACATGTCTACACACCGGCTGGACGAATCCCTGATGAGAAGAGAGTCGACAAAATCGCAAATTGGGGACCCTGCAAGACGCTCTCAGAAGTCCGTGCATTTCTGGGCACCATAGGAGTCTGCCGTGCATTTATTTCGAATTTTGCGCATCTGCCCACGCCCTGACACTTCTAACACGAAAGGAATGCCATTCCACTTCGGTACTGCACAGATCGCTGCCCAAGACGACCTGAAGCACGCATTATTGAGCTGCCCTGCGCTCCGGCCAATCGACTATTCATCTGGGGACCCAGTTATCTTATCCGTGGACACCTCTCAGATCGCCGTTGGTTTCCTGCTTGCCCAGTGCGATCCAAACACTCCCAGTCGACGTTTCTATGCCCGGTTGGCTCAATCACGCTTAACGATCGAGAAGCTCGATTTTCACAGCCCAAGCTAGAGCTGTATGGATTATTCCGCGCCCTTCGTTCATGGAAGCTCCACCTGATCGGTCTACGAAATCTAGTGGTTGAAGTCGATGCTAGGTACATCAAGGTATGCTACGGAACCCCGATCTTTCGCCCTCAGCCAGTATCAACCGCTGGATCCTGGCGATCTTAACCTTCCATTTCGAGCTAGTACATGTCCCTGGCGTCAAACACGGCCCGGATGGATTGTCCAGACGACCCGCACAGCCTGGAGACGAGTTAGAGCATGAGGACGACGGTTTTGATGACTGGATCGACGAGGTGCACGGTTTTATGCACATAATCAATGACTTACCCTTCGTTTCACGACGCCAATCCACGATCCACTCATTTTCCGCCGAAATTGCACCCACCGAGTCCACAACACCGCCTACACTGAGCTACGATCAGGTACCTCGCTCAGAAGCAGCTCGACTCGCCGATCATCGTGTAGATCTGGTTCAGGATGGCTTGAGACGCTACGACGCCCACGGGACATGTCTGAACAGCAATATCAGGCATTTATTCGGTTTAGCATGGAATTCTACCTCGAAAATCGAAAGCTTTGGCGCAAGGACGCACACGGACGCCACAAGCTAGTCGTTCCCTCCCACCGTCGAATATTCATCCTGCGATCTGCCCACGACGACGTTGGTCACAAGGGATTCCACGCAACGAAGGCTTTACTCACGGAACGATTCTGGTGGCCATTCCTTGCACACGACGTCACCTGGTACCTACGCACCTGCCACCTATGTCAGATTCGACAGACAAAGAAGCTCCTTATCCCCCCTACCGTCGCGGTCCCGGCCCCACTGTTTTCGAAAATTCATATGGACACTATGCACATGCCGCCAAGCGCTGGATTCCGCTACATTGTGCAAGGACGATGCTCGATTTCGCTTTTTTCCTGAGTTCCGCATGCTGCGCCGTGAGACAGCGACCACCCTGGGCGAATGGATCTTCCAGGACTTGATCTGCAGATGGGGGACGCTCACAGAAATCGTGTCAGACAACGGCGCACCGTTTGTGAAGGCATTGGCGTACCTGGAAGCTAAGTATCACGTCCGTCATGTGCGCATTTCGGGATACACTCACTCACGCGCAAATGGGCTGATTGAAAATCCACATTTCGACATCCGCGAGGCGCTCTTCAAGGCTGTAGATGGGGAGCAGAAGAACTGGAGTTCTGCTGCTTATTTGGTCTTCTGGGCGGACCGTGTCACTGTCCGTCGTCGCATGGGCTGCTCACCCTATTTTGCGGTCACTGGAACGCATCCATTAATTCCCCTCGATTTATCAGAAGCCACATACCTGCTCCCGCCGCCCGAAACCGTCCTTTCGACACGGATCTCATTGCACGACGCGCCATTGCGCTCCAGAAACGCCGAAGCGATCTAGAAGCCCTACACTCTCGAGTTTATCAAGCACGACTGCGTGACGCTGCACGCTTCGAGATCGAGCACGCCGCCACGATCTGCGACTTCAACTTCAAGCAGGGCGACCTGGTTTTGATGAGGAACACGGCCATCGAGAAGTCCCTCAATATGAAGATGCGCAAACGCTATTTGGGCCCATTAGTCGTCATTTCGCGCAACAAGGGAGGCGCCTACATCCTGTGTGAGCTAGACGGCTCAGTTTCCATCGTCCCATCGCCGCTTTTCGTGTTATACCTTATTTTGCACGCACAACGATCCCCCTCCCTCCCCTGGACGATTTCCTCGATATCTCAACCGAGAAACTGCGCGAGCTCGAGCAGTCAACATGGTGGACCCAGAAACAGATCAGAAGAGAGGAGAGCTGTGAAGAGTTGTAGAAGAGTTAGAGAACGCGTTTCAGTCAGGAGGATGCACCTGCACAGCTGAGCACCCTCTCCTTCGACTTTGCTGCCCATTCCTTTCCCCCCAAGTCGCATCCTTTGATTCATCATTGTCTTGCGCAGCTCCGAGGAGCTAAGGCTATGATGATCTACTGAGCCTTTATCTTCACATTTCTATTCCTCAAGACACTTGTCCGCTATTCTATGACCGAGGACGGTCATTTTTCAGTCAGGAGGAGATGACGGACTGGCCTATCTATCCGACAAGTCCTGACGTGTGGCAGTGCATGTCAATCAGCAATCAGTGGGCGCACGCTTCGCACACAACTGAGGGTCTCCTCAATATTCCTCAGCCCTGGCTATTCACTGGTTCGTCCAGCCCTGCATATATTTTTGATATTCACATCCCTGGACTGCTGTCTGCACATTTATCTCTACACCCCTGCCTTTCTTACTTCACCATCCACTTGTACCTGTTTTTCCCCTCTCACTTCCCTGGTTCCTCTGTTCACCGTCCCTTGCTCCATCCTGTCGATATTTCACCCACTCTGATGATTATTTCATTGTCTCACATACAAAAGCTTGTAGTTGGACAAAAGAAAAATAGATTTATTCTCCTCATAGTCTTGAGTTCAGTTCTCGTCTTCAGCTCGTTTCTACTTGGGTATTTCGACCCTGCTTCGTCGCATCCGTCCCACGCCGCCCTCGACTTCGTCCCACGTCTAAAATCATCATTTCTTACTGCCTGCCACGGCACTGAATCTTGTGGACCTCCTCGCACATCACACTTATTCCTGCACTGTTTTAGGTCGTAGCTGACCCCCATTTTGTTTAGCTCGCGCCTATTCCGTCCGCAGGCACGTCAACGGTCACCCGAGGGGGAGTGCGGCTGTCGGTCCAGGATGATTACGCAAACCGAGTGGAGGACCTGGCCATCGAGGCGAAGGTTCAGGGCCAGATTGGCGGCTTCCATCTGTGGCTGGAGAATCAGCTGGCCGTGCTTCAGGCTGCGCTCACGCCAGTCCCAGCCACATGGGCGGATGTTGCGGCCGCGATCAGGGGCATACCGACCAGCGAAGTCAATCGGGCGACGGATGCCCACCGTGCCAACGCCGCGTTGCAGCAGCAGATGGACCAGATCTCACGTTCTATGCAGACGATGTGCATCGCCCCGGTTGCCCCGCGCACCCAGATGACATTCCCGGTGGCACCACGTCCCGTCGCAAACCCTTCACCATTGATCGCGCCAAACGTCCAAGCCCAGAGGGGTGCTCCATCAACTGCAACACAGAACCCGAGGCCGGACCTCCCTCAGTTTGGACGAGACTACGTCCCCACTCAAGACGAGCTTACGCACATCCGTGCCACCAGGAGCTGGTAGTTTCCATTGCCCAGCCAGACATGGAGCAGGGACGTGCTACGTATGCGCAGCAGAAAGCGCGATGGCTGCATGACACACAAACGAGCGGGCAACAGGGGACCCTTCGTCTATGGGAAAAAGGCCACCCACTCTCCCCTGGGACGCTGATACCAGGAAGCCGCGAGTGTTGGCGATGTGGGATGGCACGCCATGACGGGACTGCACTGCCCCGTACATCACGGGTGACGAGCGCCGCTTCCGCTTCCTGTGCCACTCCTGGCTCACTGGACGGCGTGCAACACCACCGGCGAATGTCCCACCGGCCACTCCCGTGAATGCGGTCCACTGGTACCAGATTGGAGCGCCGGCGCCAGAGGATTTTCAAGCCGGGCAGGCGTAATAGGCGATACGTCGGCCCCAAACCGTCGACCATTTGGACGTGTCGGGGACTTCCAGTGTAGCAGTGTCGAACAGGATGTATTCAAAAACCAATCTGATCTTGACCTTGTCGACCTCTACACTGTGGATGAGCCTGGGAACTCTCACCCTCTTTTCAAACACTCTGGGATCTATCTTGAAGGGCTGAATGGCGAAAAGATTCGCGGAACGGCGCTATTCGACGGCGCTGCGGGCGCTGGCATACTTGACAGCAAGTGGTTCGAACACACGAAGACGAAGGCTGGGCGAGGCGAGCATCTCCCGGCTGCAGAAGCGGTTGCGGATGGCGAATGGGGAGATTGTGACGTCAGATGCCCATTGGGAAGGAACGGTCGACGTCGGCGGGTCCGGTGCGGGGCGAGTTCGAAGTGATGGACTCGGGAGGCGCGTGGGAATCCTAATTGGCAAGCCAATCTTGCGATTGCTTAACGCCGTGCAAGACTTCGCGGGGGACACGGTGCAGGTCTCAGATGGGAGTAGAGCGGTCCTGCTCAAGAACGGTGGGGTGATGACAAAGATCGGGCAGAGACCGAGGCGAGGAGCCTCTGTGGGGGACGCATTGTCCGCAATCTCCCCCGCGAGGCGAGTACCTTCTCCGAACCTGTGCGAGCTTGATGATCCAGCTTGGACAGCGATAGCGGAAATACGCACTGCAGACCACAAGATGGATAAGGTGGCCACACGAGTGACCCTCCCGGGGGACGTGTTGTCCGCAACCTCCCCCCCGAGGCGAGTAGAGAGCACTGCTTGTCAACCTCGAGAGAGCACTGACCACGTTGCGAGGGGCGGGAACAGGACCAAGATCTGACAGGATGTACATGTGGAGGAGGACGCGCTGGAGAACGATGAGGGCGAAGACGATCCGCTGATGGGCGATGAGCTGCCAAACGGAGATGCAACAAGGGAGAGAGACCGACCTGTGCCGACGGAGCTGGAGGGGAAATTGCCCACGGCAATGCGTGTGGCCGCACCGGGGGACGCATTGTCCGCAATCTCCCCCCGAGGCGAGTCCTTCTCTACGTCTTCCCAAGATGGTGGGTTGCTAACAACGCGATATACGCCCCGAGCCCGTTGCCGAAGCCACCACCGACGGGATGAATAGCCCTGGAATGAATACCGCTGTGCCACGCGTGCCAGCCTACGAGGGGGTCGAATTGTCAGCGATCACCCCCGCGAGGCGAGTTCCATCCAGCGACCCTTCTGATGTCAAGGCAGCTGACGTTCTTACCATGACACCATGCCCCACGCCAACCTGCGTGACCCTGTATACAAGGCTGACAGAGCCGTTCAAGCCAGAACGTGTCGCAAAGATCTGGAGCTTGTAGAAGTTGGGCCGGACATCACTGCAGAGCAGCAGACGCAGGTGCATGCGCTGAAAGCTGAGTTTGCCGATGTGTTTGCACTGTCTGTCGGTGAGGTCAAAGTGGTCAAGGGCCGAAGTACTCCCCGCGCGTACCTGTGGACCACGATTTTGGCACGATGGTCGTCAACCAGAGGCCGATGTCGCCGCCACAGCTGAAGTTCCTGACAACACAAGTCGACGAGCTGGTCGCTGCAGGAATTCTTTGTCGGATAGATGCCAAGGATGTGCGCTGCGTCAGCCCCATCACGCTAGCACCAAAGGAACAACCCAAAGGGCTGTGTCTGGCAGAGCTGATGCACCAGCTGAATGACCAGTGCGTTGCTGCGGGACTGCCAGCGCTGGAGGAGTTGCCGCCGAGACCAGAACCGAAGGACCCAGGGCCCCCAAAGCCCGTGCGGTGGAGGGTATGCCACAACTTTGCGGAGTTAAACAAAGTGTGCAGGTGGTCCCGTTCCCACAAGGAGACATTCGGACAAGCAACGGCGCCTGGCGGGCCATAAGTACGTCTCGATCTTTGATTTTGTGGCCGGGTTCTACGCGCTTGAGGTCGCCGAATATGCGCAGCCGTACCTGTGCATCTTCGTCCCTGGGCGCAGCTACCATGCATATACACGCATGCCGTCACCTTGGACACCCCAAATCCTACCTCGAGAGGTACCTTTTTGAGGCCCAAACAGGTACCTCAGAGGTAGTGGGGGGCTGTGGGCTGGGCGGATGTGGGGGGCCCCCAGTTTTGGTTTTGGGCGGCTCTGGGGGGCTCTGGGGGGCCCATCCTGGACCCTACCTGGCACGTTAGTGCCAAAAAAAAATTGAGTTTTTTGACCTCAAAATTGCCTATTTTGGAAGATTCTGGGACACTTGGCCAGAACCGGTATTCAGGATGGGGCATTGTTCAAAAATAGAATGTAGCTCAATGTATCTGGCTATAACAAGCCAGTGTAGCAATTTTAAACAAAGCACTTTCTTTCCGGGCTAGGTTTACCCATTCTTGCACAAAACTTTGTTCTACATCATTTTCCAAGTGATGTCATTATGTGGACTGTTTTGGATGCTGCGCTCTAACGAGTGATCTGATCACCCATGTGTATAGGTGAAACTTGTTTAGTTTTGCGAGGGCTACAACTTTGATTTCCCATCATTTTCTTTGTCAGCATCAGTCACATGCTTCACTGCCATGTGGAATGGCACTGCTTTTGATCTCCCATCAATTTTTGATGATACTGATGATGTAAATCTCAATCTCATCTTATCTGTCAGACCCATATTGATGGTATCTGCTTACTCAATTGTAGTCGCTGATAATTGAATTGAAGACTTATCTAATCTTGATGCGGCTGTGTGTGATTGGATCATTATTGCAGCACAGCTTCCATTTTGGGTTGCATGTTCAAGTTACATAATCAGAATTGAACATGTTGAACATGTGACTTCCTTTTTAGGACGGTTTGATGCAACTTATAGCAACCCAAAAAGGAAATTCATCTCAATTTTGGAATAGCTCATGCTCATGGTGTGGGTTCTGCCTTAGGTTTTCAGGGTATATTCTACCATGTAATCACTTACATTTGTGCTCTTCAAAGCCACTGCATTGTTATACAATGCCTCCATATCCCAATTCTTTCAGTGATACCCTACCTAGCTTTCCATGACAACACATGCTTCTCTAGGCACATCCCTATCTCTCTCTAACATTCTATGCCTCTCAAGTAATGTACTTCTGTCTTAGATCTCACAGTAGAGCCAGCCATTGTATATATAAATGCATAGTAACCATTTCCAACCCATCTTGCTTTGATACATAACCAGTGGTTTCTACACCCCCAATTCACATCAGTCATGCTTTTATTATTACAAAGAAGAGTCAGTGAGATTGATATGGACATAGAAACAAGAATACAGTGGAAGCAATGGTAACAGGTGGGAAATCAAAGTGCCCTTTGTAATGCAGGTATTCTTGCTCCCATAACTCGAAGCAATGTTTCACTTTATTGTACCAACCATTTCGAAAATTTTCCGCACTTCATTGATCTAAAAATCAGGCTGTATCTGTTTCATTTAGGTGCATTTACTTTTATATTGTGAGTGGAATAGGGACTCTCTGGGTGAATTCCACGCCCCCCTGAACATTGCAATGAGTTTTTGGAGTCATATTCTCCCAGAATATGAAAGATAGCAGAGGGAAACAAAAAGTGCAATTTTTTTCGCACTTGATTAGTGCTACATCTTAATCTTTCTGAGGTATATCAATTCAATATCATGTTGCTTTTCACTATTCCCCTGTCATCTATTTCATATTCTGGGAGAATATGACTCCAAAAACTCATTGCAATGTTCAGGGGGGCGTGGAATTCACCAGAGAGTCCCTATTCCACTCACAATATAAAGTAAATGCACCTAAATGAAACAGATACAGCCTGATTTTTAGATCAATGAAGTGCGGAAAATTTTCGAAATGGTTGGTACAATAATGAAACATTGCTTCGAGTTATGGGAGCAAGAATACCTGCATTACAAAGGGCACTTTGATTTCCCACCTGTTACCATTGCTTCCACTGTATTCTTGTTTCTATGTCCATATCAATCTCACTGACTCTTCTTTGTAATAATAAAGCATGACTGATGTGAATTGGGGGTGTAGAAACCACTGGTTATGTATCAAAGCAAGATGGGTTGGAAATGGTTACTATGCATTTATATATACAATGGCTGGCTCTACTGTGAGATCTAAGACAGAAGTACATTACTTGAGAGGCATAGAATGTTAGAGAGAGATAGGGATGTGCCTAGAGAAGCATGTGTTGTCATGGAAAGCTAGGTAGGGTATCACTGAAAGAATTGGGATATGGAGGCATTGTATAACAATGCAGTGGCTTTGAAGAGCACAAATGTAAGTGATTACATGGTAGAATATACCCTGAAAACCTAAGGCAGAACCACACCATGAGCATGAGCTATTCCAAAATTGAGATGAATTTCCTTTTGGGTTGCTATAAGTTGCATCAAACCGTCCTAAAAAGGAAGTCACATGTTCAACATGTTCAATTCTGATTATGTAACTTGAACATGCAACCCAAAATGGAAGCTGTGCTGCAATAATGATCCAATCACACACAGCCGCATCAAGATTAGATAAGTCTTCAATTCAATTATCAGCGACTACAATTGAGTAAGCAGATACCATCAATATGGGTCTGACAGATAAGATGAGATTGAGATTTACATCATCAGTATCATCAAAAATTGATGGGAGATCAAAAGCAGTGCCATTCCACATGGCAGTGAAGCATGTGACTGATGCTGACAAAGAAAATGATGGGAAATCAAAGTTGTAGCCCTCGCAAAACTAAACAAGTTTCACCTATACACATGGGTGATCAGATCACTCGTTAGAGCGCAGCATCCAAAACAGTCCACATAATGACATCACTTGGAAAATGATGTAGAACAAAGTTTGTGCAAGAATGGGTAAACCTAGCCCGGAAAGAAAGTGCTTTGTTTAAAATTGCTACACTGGCTTGTTATAGCCAGATACATTGAGCTACATTCTATTTTTGAACAATGCCCCATCCTGAATACCGGTTCTGGCCAAGTGTCCCAGAATCTTCCAAAATAGGCAATTTTGAGGTCAAAACTCAATTTTTTTCTGGCACTAACGTGCCAGGTAGGGTCCAGGATGGGCCCCCCCAGAGCCCCCAGAGCCGCCCAAAACCAAAACTGGGGGCCCCCCACATCCGCCCAGCCCACAGCCCCCCACTACCTCTGAGGTACCTTGTTTGGGCCTCAAAAAGTACCTCTCGAGGTAGGATTTGGGGTGTCCAAGGTGACGGCATGCGTGTATATGCATGGTAGCTGCGCCCAGGACGAAGATGCACAGGTACGGCTGCGCATATTCGGCGACCTCAAGCGCGTAGAACCCGGCCACAAAATCAAAGATCGAGACGTACTTATGCCCGCCAGGCGCCGTTGCTTGTCCCGAATGTCTCCTTGTGGGAACGGGACCACCTTGCACACTTTGTTTAACTCCGCAAAGTTGTGGCATACCCTCCACCGCACGGGCTTTGGGGGCCCTGGGTCCTTCGGTTCTGGTCTCGGCGGCAACTCCTCCAGCGCTGGCAGTCCCGCAGCAACGCACTGGTCATTCAGCTGGTGCATCAGCTCTGCCAGACACAGCCCTTTGGGTTGTTCCTTTGGTGCTAGCGTGATGGGGCTGACGCAGCGCACATCCTTGGCATCTATCCGACAAAGAATTCCTGCAGCGACCAGCTCGTCGACTTGTGTTGTCAGGAACTTCAGCTGTGGCGCGACATCGCCTCTGGTTGACGACCATCGTGCCAAAATCGTGGTCCACAGGTCGCGCGGGGAGTACTTCCGGCCCTTGACCACTTTGACCTCACCGACAGACAGTGCAAACACATCGGCAACTCAGCTTTCAGCGCATGCACCTGCGTCTGCTGCTCTGCAGTGATGTCCGGCCAACCAACTTCTACAAGCTCCAGGATCTTTGCGACACGTTCTGGCTTGAACGGCTCTGTCAGCCTTGTATACAGGGTCACGCAGTTGGCGTGGGGCATGGTGTCATGGTAAGAACGTCAGCTGCCTTGACATCAGAAGGGTCGCTGGATGGAACTCGCCTCGCGGGGGTGATCGCTGACAATTCGACCCCCTCGTAGGCTGGCACGCGTGGCACAGCGGTATTCATTCCAGGGCTATTCATCCCGTCGGTGGTGGCTTCGGCAACGGGCTCGGGCCGTATATCGCGTTGTTAGCAACCCACCATCTTGGGAAGACGTAGAGAAGGACTCGCCTCGCGGGGAGATTGCGGACAATGCGTCCCCCGGTGCGGCCACACGCATTGCCGTGGGCAATTTCCCCTCCAGCTCCGTCGGCACAGGTCGGTCTCTCTCCCTTGTTGCATCTCCGTTTGGCAGCTCATCGCCCATCAGCGGATCGTCTTCGCCCTCATCGTTCTCCAGCGCGTCCTCCTCCACATGTACATCCTGTCAGATCTTGGTCCTGTTCCCGCCCCTCGCAACGTGGTCAGTGCTCTCTCGAGGTTGACAAGCAGTGCTCTCTACTCGCCTCGGGGGGAGGTTGCGGACAACACGTCCCCCGGGAGGGTCACTCGTGTGGCCACCTTATCCATCTTGTGGTCTGCAGTGCGTATTTCCGCTATCGCTGTCCAAGCTGGATCATCAAGCTCGCACAGGTTCGGAGAAGGTACTCGCCTCGCGGGGGAGATTGCGGACAATGCGTCCCCCACAGAGGCTCCTCGCCTCGGTCTCTGCCCGATCTTTGTCATCACCCCACCGTTCTTGAGCAGGACCGCTCTACTCCCATCTGAGACCTGCACCGTGTCCCCCGCGAAGTCTTGCACGGCGTTAAGCAATCGCAAGATTGGCTTGCCAATTAGGATGTCCCACGCGCCTCCCGAGTCCATCACTTCGAACTCGCCCCGCACCCGGCCCCGCCGACGTCGACCGTTCCTTCCCAATGGGCATCTGACGTCACAATCTCCCCATTCGCCATCCGCAACCGCTTCTGCAGCCGGGAGATGCTCGCCTCGCCCAGCCTTCGTCTTCGTTGTTCGAACCACTTGCTGTCAAGTATGCCAGCGCCCGCAGCGCCGTCGAATAGCGCCGTTCCGCGAATCTTTTCGCCATTCAGCCCTTCAAGATAGATCCCAGAGTGTTTGAAAAGAGGGTGAGAGTTCCCAGGCTCATCCACAGTGTAGAGGTCGACAAGGTCAAGATCAGATTGGTTTTTGAATACATCCTGTTCGACACTGCTACACTGGAAGTCCCCCGACACGTCCAAATGGTCGACGGTTTGGGCCGACGTATCGCCTATTACGCCTGCCCGGCTTGAAAATCCTCTGGCGCCGGCGCTCCAATCTGGTACCAGTGGACCGCATTCACGGGAGTGGCCGGTGGGACATTCGCCGGTGGTGTTGCACGCCGTCCAGTGAGCCAGGAGTGGCACAGGAAGCGGAAGCGGCGCTCGTCACCGTGATGTACGGGCAGTGCAGTCCCCGTCATGGCGTGCCATCCCACATCGCCAACACTCGCGGCTTCCTGGTATCAGCGTCCCAGGGGGAGTGGGTGGCCTTTTCCCATAGACGAAGGTCCCCTGTTGCCCGCTCGTTTTGTGTGTCATGCAGCCATCGCGCTTTCTGCTGCGCATACGTAGCACGTCCTGCTCCATGTCTGGCTGGGCAATGGAAACTACCAGCTCCCTGGTGGCACGGATGTGCGTAAGCTCGTCTTGAGTGGGGACGTAGTCTCGTCCAAACTGAGGGAGGTCCGGCCTCGGGTTCTGTGTTGCAGTTGATGGAGCACCCCTCTGGGCTTGGACGTTTGGCGCGATCAATGGTGAAGGGTTTGCGACGGGACGTGGTGCCACCGGGAATGTCATCTGGGTGCGCGGGGCAACCGGGCGATGCACATCGTCTGCATAGAACGTGAGATCTGGTCCATCTGCTGCTGCAACGCGGCGTTGGCACGGTGGGCATCCGTCGCCCGATTGACTTCGCTGGTCGGTATGCCCCTGATCGCGGCGCGCAACATCCGCCCATGTGGCTGGGACTGGCGTGAGCGCAGCCTGAAGCACGGCCAGCTGATTCTCCAGCCACAGATGGAAGCCGCCAATCTGGCCCTGAACCTTCGCCTCGATGGCCAGGTCCTCCACTCGGTTTGCGTAATCATCCTGGACCGACAGCCGCACTCCCCCTCGGGTGACCGTTGACGTGCCTGCGGACGGAATAGGCGCGAGCTAACACAAATGGGGGTCAGCTACGACCTAAAACAGTGCAGGAATAAGTGTGATGTGCGAGGAGGTCCACAAGATTCAGTGCCGTGGCAGGCAGTAAGAAATGATGATTTTAGACGTGGGACGAAGTCGAGGGCGGCGTGGGACGGATGCGACGAAGCAGAGGGTCGAAATACCCAAGTAGAAACGAGCTGAAGACGAGAACTGAACTCAAGACTATGAGGAGAATAAATCTATTTTTCTTGTCCAACTACAAGCTTTGTATGTGAGACAATGAAATAATCATCAGAGTGGGTGAATATCGACAGGATGGAGCAAGGACGGTGAACAGAGGAACCAGGGAAGTGAGAGGGGAAAAACAGGTACAAGTGGATGGTGAAGTAAGAAAGGCAGGGGTGTAGAGATAATGTGCAGACAGCAGTCCAGGGATGTGAATATCAAAAATATATGCAGGGCTGGACGAACCAGTGAATAGCCAGGCTGAGGAATATTGAGGAGACCCTCAGTTGTGTGCGAAGCGTGCGCCCACTGATTGCTGATTGACATGCACTGCCACACGTCAGGACTTGTCGGATAGATAGGCCAGTCCGTCATCTCCTCCTGACTGAAAAAATGACCGTCCTCGGTCATAGAATAGCGGACAAGTGTCTTGAGGAATAGAAATGTGAAGATAAAGGCTCAGTAGATCATCATAGCCTTAGCTCCTCGGAGCTGCGCAAGACAATGATGAATCAAAGGATGCGACTTGGGGGGAAAGGAATGGGCAGCAAAGTCGAAAGGAGAGGGTGCTCAGCTGTGCAGGTGCATCCTCCTGACTGAAACGCGTTCTCTAACTCTTCTACAACTCTTCACAGCTCTCCTCCTCTTCCTGATCTGTTTCTGGTCCACCAATGTTGACTGCTCGAGCTCGCGCAGTTTCTCGGTTGAGATATCGAGGAAATCGTCCAGGGGAGGAGGGGGATCGTTGTGCGTGCAAAATAAGGTATAACACGAAAAGCGGCGATGGGACGATGGAAAACTGAGCCGTCTAGCTCACACAGGATGTAGGCGCCTCCCTTGTTGCGCGAAATGACGACTAATGGGCCCAAATAGCGTTTGCGCATCTTCATATTGAGGGACTTCTCGATGGCCGTGTTCCTCATCAAAACCAGGTCGCCCTGCTTGAAGTTGAAGTCGCAGATCGTGGCGGCGTGCTCGATCTCGAAGCGTGCAGCGTCACGCAGTCGTGCTTGATAAACTCGAGAGTGTAGGGCTTCTAGATCGCTTCGGCGTTTCTGGAGCGCAATGGCGCGTCGTGCAATGAGATCCGTGGTCGAAAGGACGGTTTCGGGCGGCGGAGCAGGTATGTGGCTTCTGATAAATCGAGGGGAATTAATGGATGCGTTCCAGTGACCGCAAAATAGGGTGAGCAGCCCATGCGACGACGGACAGTGACACGGTCCGCCCAGAAGACCAAATAAGCAGCAGAACTCCAGTTCTTCTGCTCCCATCTACAGCCTTGAAGAGCGCCTCGCGGATGTCGAAATGTGGATTTTCAATCAGCCCATTTGCGCGTGAGTTGTATCCCGAAATGCGCACATGACGGACGTGATACTTAGCTTCCAGGTACGCCAATGCCTTCACAAACGGTGCGCCGTTGTCTGACACGATTTCTGTGAGCGTCCCCATCTGCAGATCAAGTCCTGGAAGATCCATTCGCCCAGGGTGGTCGCTGTCTCACGGCGCAGCATGCGGAACTCAGGAAAAGCGAAATCGAGCATCGTCCTTGCACAATGTAGCGGAATCCAGCGCTTGGCGGCATGTGCATAGTGTCCATATGAATTTTCGAAAACAGTGGGGCCGGGACCGCGACGGTAGGGGGGATAAGGAGCTTCTTTGTCTGTCGAATCTGACATAGGTGGCAGGTGCGTAGGTACCAGGTGACGTCGTGTGCAAGGAATGGCCACCAGAATCGTTCCGTGAGTAAAGCCTCGTTGCGTGGAATCCCTTGTGACCAACGTCGTCGTGGGCAGATCGCAGGATGAATATTCGACGGTGGGAGGGAACGACTAGCTTGTGGCGTCCGTGTGCGTCCTTGCGCCAAAGCTTTCGATTTTCGAGGTAGAATTCCATGCTAAACCGAATAAATGCCTGATATTGCTGTTCAGACATGTCCCGTGGGCGTCGTAGCGTCTCAAGCCATCCCTGAACCAGATCTACACGATGATCGGCGAGTCGAGCTGCTTCTGAGCGAGGTACCTGATCGTAGCTCAGTGTAGGCGGTGTTGTGGACTCGGTGGGTGCAATTTCGGCGGAAAATGAGTGGATCGTGGATTGGCGTCGTGAAACGAAGGGTAAGTCATTGATTATGTGCATAAAACCGTGCACCTCGTCGATCCAGTCATCAAAACCGTCGTCCTCATGCTCTAACTCGTCTCCAGGCTGTGCGGGTCGTCTGGACAATCCATCCGGGCCGTGTTGTGACGCCAGGGACATGTACTAGCTCGAAATGGAAGGTAAGATCGCCAGGATCCAGCGTTTGATACTGGCTGAGGGCGAAAGATCGGGGTTCCGTAGCATACCCTTGATGTACCTAGCATCGACTTCAACCACTAGATTTCGTAGACCGATCAGGTGGAGCTTCCATGAACGAAGGGCGCGGAATAATCCATACAGCTCTAGCTTGGGCTGTGAAAATCGAGCTTCTCGATCGTTAAGCGTGATTGAGCCAACCGGGCATAGAAACGTCGACTGGGAGTGTTTGGATCGCACTGGGCAAGCAGGAAACCAACGGCGATCTGAGAGGTGTCCACGGATAAGATAACTGGGTCCCCAGATGAATAGTCGATTGGCCGGAGCGCAGGGCAGCTCAATAATGCGTGCTTCAGGTCGTCTTGGGCAGCGATCTGTGCAGTACCGAAGTGGATGGCATATCCTTTCGTGTTAGAAGTGTCAGGGCGTGGGCACGATGCGCAAAATTCGAAATAAATGCACGGCAGACTCCTATGGTGCCCAGAAATGCACGGACTTCTGAGAGCGTCTTGCAGGGTCCCCAATTTGCGATTTTGTCGACTCTCTTCTCATCAGGGATTCGTCCAGCCGGTGTGTAGACATGTCCAACAACTGTGATGGTTTCGGCGCAGAGTGTGAGCTTGAGGCCAGAGAATGTCCCTCCGCAGTACTTCATCCTCTGAACGATTCGATTCAGATTTCCAAAATGTTCCCAAACGAACCGGCGAATCCCTGGATTCTCAGGATCGTCTCAAATGATCCATCTTCTAGCTGATATCTCGATTTGGGGCCACGGCCCGGGACGTCGTCGATGTATGGCCAAGTAAATTCCGGGATTTCGGGCTGGAGAGATGTAGGTGACGTCGTCGTGGAAGATGGGGACTGAATTCGTCCATCCCATGGGCAGGGTAACAAGTCTGAGAGCTCCATAGGGCGTCTGGAACGTTGTATAGTCGCGGGAGGCTGGCGCAAGCAACGTTCGTCATATCCACATATAACCAGCATGGCACCACAGGCTCGTCCTGCAAAATGCTCAGCCAGCTGCTCAGTGAACGGCGTGACGCCTGAGTGCTGAATTGTGACGGCGTTGAGTGGCTCCAGGGAATGAACCAAACGAAGGCTGGTGCCATCTTTCTTCACCACACAGAACCAACGGGATCGATAGGATGAATTGGACGGTTC